TATATATATCCTGCTCCTCTTGCGACTGGATAGGACAATGAATTATATATATGATCAGGCTAAATATAACCACCACAAGTTTTTCAGGAAGTAAGCATGGGCAGAGCAAGGAGCAATGGAGGAAACCAAAGACATATGGAAACAGTTGGTCCAAGAGACTAGTGGACCACATGAACCTCTGCCTCTATGACTCAGAGACCAGAAGAACTAGGTGACACCTGGCCACCACTGTTGAAAGGGATCACAATAGGAGGTCCTTGATAGAGTGGAAGAAAAATATGGAACAAAATTCAAACTCATTTAAAAAAAAACAACTAGGCTTGCTGCTCTTATAGCGATTGATGGAATCCCTGAGACTATGGTCTTTACACACTGTTCAAGCCTGGAACTGAACTCATGCCAATGTCTCAGCTTTCAGCTGAACGACAGACAGATCTTTTGGGTGAACAATAATAGTAGGAAGGCATTCCGTCCTTAGAACAATGAACCGTATGAGATCAAAAGGGCAGCATTTGTACAGGGAGAAACCTCAGAAGGCAGCAAGGCACAGGGAAGAAGGGTGGAAGGAAATGGTAACCACAGGGAGGAAGTGGGAAGAGTGCTGCTACATTGTGGGGCCTGCAGTCAATGTCATGAAATAAAGTGTGTATGAACAGTTGAATGGAAAAAACAATTTGCCCTGTAAACTTTCACTCAGATCACAATAACAATAATAAAATTTATAATATTGGCCAGATAATTCTGGACCATCTTTAGTAACCCTAAAGCAAAAGAACTCAAACTCACTGCCATCATTTAGACACTGACTCATAGCAACCCCTCCTTGGGTTTCCAAGGAGGTATCTCTACGGAAGTAGATTGCCCAGTCTTCATTCTGAGAAGAGGCTCATGGGTTTGATTGTTTTTTAATATTTCAGGTAACATATTCTGTTCTAAGCAAGTTCAGGTTGCTTAAATGCTCGAAGAGTTTATTACAAGAGTATAGAAAAAGTATGGGGAGGGTTTCTATATTAGAGAGACACTCAAGAAATTTCATCAGTTTTAGGCCTGAGCTGATAAGTGTTGGCAGGTCAAAGGTGATTTAAATGATTTAAGAGGCTCTCAGAATTGGAACAATTTATTTGAGGGTTACAGTAAAAATTTAACCAACACCTCTGGTTTAATTTAGGGGAATAAAAGCAATTTTTCAGGGAAATATAACCTGATCATTTATATGTTAGAGATGATGAATGCAGAGGTGTAACAACATTTGAGAACTGCAAAAAGAAAAAAAAAAAAAAAATCCAAGCCATTCATTCTTGATGGTGTATGACCTGCTCATCTGTATGCTGTATGAACTGTCAACTCTTATTTATAAATATAAAAAATAATTTTTCTGCAATCATGCTGCCATAAGATAATAATTGTCATCTCAATGCACCCTTTTAGCCTTCTTATACACACACATTTTCTTTGATAGTGGTAACTCTAATCTAAATGTAGCTATATACTATGGAATATTTTGTTTTTCATAAATTAGTATACATAATCTTGTGATATCCAGAGATGCTTTTAATCATCATCCTACTGGTGTCTGGTGTTTATAAGGGCACAGAATGAAGATAGCATAGGGACAATTATCAAAGCACATTGGTGGAGACAATAATTTTATATTTTATAAAAGTACACATCAAATTTCAAAATTATATGTATAAGAAAATATTTCAAATTATTTGTATAAGAAATTTCAAATTATATGTATAAGAAATATATACACAATGATGTATAATCTCAGCACACACACAGACACAGACGATACATACAAAAAATTTGGAGATATATGTATTTCCAAAACAAATGGAAATATTTTTGAATTTGTATTGCTTCCAAAAAACCAAACTCACTGCCATTGAGTTGATTCCAACTCAGAGCAACCCCCATTGGGTTTCCGAGGTGATACATTTTTACAGAAGTAGATTGCCCAGTCTTCCTTCCATGGAGTGGCTGGTGGGTTTGAAATGCCAACCTTCTGGTTAGCAGTCAAATGCCTTAAGTGCTTAGATTTATTTAATTCTTGCTAATTTCTGTTAGCATGAACATTGTGAATGTACTATTACATACATGTACATATTGGATATAGTGCTTAGAGTTCCCATATACAGATTTATTTAGAAATATAATTGGCAAAAAATGCAGAGACCATGACTGGATTGGAATTAAGTTAGGTTTCATTATTTACTTATTTAGTAATTATTGCCATTATTAATATAGTGAATGTAGGTTACACCTAAAGAAGAGCTTTAAGTGGATGATGATAAAATTAGTTAATATATTGGTTTTTATTTTCAAAGACATTCGCAAGTTAAGAAAGTATACCCAGGAGAATGCCACAAAGAAATAGATTAAGCAGGACGCAGAAAAGGAATAATCAGACATAGCTGTAATTTCAGGTGAAGTACTAGCCTCAGCTTGATTCCATGGAGCACTTGGAAACATAAATAACATCTCAGAATTTGTTCTGAGGCAAAGGAGCTGACTTTATTAGTGTTACCACAGTAGTAAGTCATGGTTATGGCTCACCTGAGGAAAGGGGGTAAATTCAGGCATTTTTGCTTTCCTAAGGAGCCCTGGGGCTGGAAATGATCAAGCACTTGGCTTTGATCATTGATACCAGTGGCTCCATGGGAGAATGACCTGACAATATATATGGATGCATCCATATATATTACAGCCAAGAAAACTCTACACAGGGGATCACAATGAATCAAATCAACTTGACAGCAACTATCAGCAACAAAAGGAGAGCAGACTGCCATGTAAGTGCCTGGGCAGGACACCAAGTGTCCTTTACACATGTTATCTACATCATAATAGGGTAAAGCAGGTGAAGCATCGGCTATTCCTGATATCATAGATGAGAAAAACAGAACTCAGCTAAGTCAGAAGTAGGCTAAATCCATGGATCTTTAGAAAACTTTTAAAATTATCTAAATTTTTAATAGTCTTAATAACTTATGCTATTCTCTATTATGTAGAGAAAATACTTGAAAAGTACTAAAAATGGATTTTAATAAGTTTAAATGTATAGGATGCTTATCCTGTAGAAAATATGCATCAGAAACATATTAATTGCATGCTTAGTAGATGGTGTGGAAATATATCCCTTATTTTATTATTTTTATTACATTTAATATCCAATTTAATAGCTGTGTATGTTATATCAGATTTGGGAGCTCTGGTGGCATATGGGAGCTCTGGTGG